TGAGATGCTCTACTTTTTTATCAAAGAGAGTAGGGTAAAGAAACCACTAGATCTAGGTGAAAATATAGAGAGAATATAGGTTTTAGAGAAAGAGGGTCCTGATCTAGGGTTTTGAAAGAAAAAGATATGAAAAAATAATGTAAAAAGGTGATGCTGCGAACTGATATACGCACAATTCGCTCAAGCATAAGAAGTAACGCTCGAGCGTCAGACACAATAACTAAACGACAAATGTATTTTAAAAAATAGAACATGAATATTTTATAACAAATGTGATAAATTGAATGAGCTACTATTATTGGATTGACATAATGTTTTTTAGTAAATGATAAACATTCAATACCTTACAAAATAAAACATTCGAATTATCAAAAATAAAACCTGTGGACACCACAGCCAGACAACACCCTTCCATCCATAGCCTAATCCTTGTTTTAATAGCAATTGTACATTTTTATAATATCTATATATATATATATATATATGAATTAGATTCACAAAACCTAATGGCTATAAAACAAAAAGTTTATCCCATCATGTTGCAATCCATGCACAAGAAAACCACACCTGCCCTGATGAATAGTGTCTACTTTATCGTCACAAACTTGTGTGAGTTGTGTAAATTCGTAGTCATACCACAATTCTCACATACAAGTTTTGAGTTGAAAAAGTCTTCGGCACTATCGCTGAACTCGTCTCCAGTAAGGAAGATCACAAAACAATGGAGAAAGAGAGGCCAAGAGAGTGGGGCCAAGAGATTGAAAAAAAAAAAAAAAAAAAAGGAAGAAAAAGAAGAAGAAGTAGTCTATTTTAAGTATTGTTTTAAATGAAAATAAAAAATAAAACAAGTTGTCTAGAGACGTGGCTATTACGTATAGGGCATGTTTGATTGGAAGGATTAAAGCATGGGATTAGGATTATTAATCCGTGGGCCCAATCATCCTATGTTTGTTTTGACATTTTGGTTTAGGACTATTAATCCAATGGATAATTAATCTAACAAATTTGTAGGATTATTAGTAATGCGGTAGGGGTGGGATAGTTAATACCACACTAATTTGATAGGATTATTAATACCTCACTATTAATATTGTGAATCAAACATGGCCATATAGGTATGGAATTTAAGTGTATAAATCCACTTAACTCTTCATTCTTTTAGCAAGTGCTCTTGTTGTGGGCCACAAAAGGTTTCACATTCAGTGCCAACAGTTGTAATTGTTGGTAGCAGTTGTGTCTCTGCAAATAACGTATGATCAAGTCAGGAAACTAAATAGAAAACACTATAAGCCTTCACATTTTTAAAGTCGAGGATATGATGTTTGAAGGTGTTTGAATTTCGAAAGGTGTTTGATTGTTTAGTAGATACGGGTTGTTATATGATATTTAATAAGTTTTGGAGCATATTTTTGAGATACGGAAAAAGTAGAAAACATATGTATTCTTCAGACTTCTAAAATAAAATGTAGCGCTGAAAGTTGACATCTGTAGCTCAAAAATGACAATTGGTGTCTTTTTTTGTGACAATTTTCTAAATATGTGGCTAAAAAATAAAAAGTAATGATGTTTTTCTGTGATGAATTTTCAAACTATCGCTAAAAACTAACAATTAGAGACACTTTTTTTTTATAAAACCACTGCTAAAAAAATAATATATACATATATACATATATATGATGTTGTAGTAACAATTAAGAGTGAACCGAACTTTTTAGTGTACCAAAAAGTCAGTAAGACTTACTAGTGTACTCATCTTTCTAATAGGACTTTTCAATTGCTCACAGGTCTTATTATAAGGATCTATGTACCATTAAGTCCCACAAGTATTTGTATAGATCCAAAAGTCTCACAAGTGTTAGCAACTTTTTTTGTGACGATTTTTTAAATCTGTCACTAAAAATGAATTAGTGACATTTTTCTATTACAAATTTTTTAATTATCGCAAAAAAATAACAATTAGTGGCACTTTTTATAAAAACGTCACTAAAAAAATTAAAAATTTTGTGGTAATAATTAAAAGTGAACATGATTTTTTAATAAATAAAAAATCAAGATAATTTTTTTTTGATCGGCAAAAGTACTTTATTGAATAAGAATCAAGGATAAAACCTTACATGAAACATCAATAAAGAACAAAACCTAGTAGGTGCTATAAGCGTCAAAGTGAAGGCCATTTATCCCAAATAGGTTGGCACAAAACGACTCACCCAATCATATGCAGCACCTACAAAACAAGGCTGAAAAGGGATCAACTAGACAGAAACAAAAACACAGAAACCCAACAAGCTAGCTACCCATACCCCTTAAAGCTTTGATCCTAAACTCCAAGTCAGAAACAGAGTAATTCACCCCTTTGACATGGTTTTTAACCTATAAGGCTATATGCAATAAAATAGATTCACACAAATCTTCCCAGTTAATACCAAGACCAGTAAACTTGCACCCATTTCTAACCTTCCATAAATTCCATATCACAGCAGCTGGAATTGCACCCTAAATACTCTTTTCCAACTTTTTGATTTTGAATCCATCCCACCACTCCAACAAATGACTCACAGATTGAGGAACAACCCAAATAATACCCCACCAAGACAAAATCTCTGTCCAGATTTTCCAAGCAAAACTGCAATGAAGGATCACATGGTTCACATCTTCATCACAAGAATTACAGAAAATGCGTAAAGGGTCTACAGTAGGATCAAGAACACCAATGCTATGAAGAAACACTGAAGTTTTTAGTCTATCTTTCCAAGCTAGGCAACAGGTGAATTGCATCTTAGAAGGAGCAATATTGATCCATATCGCTCGAGGCACAGAAGGCAATGGACCAAGATTCAAATTGAACTAATCATAAACTGATTTCACAGTGAACAACCCAGATACTTCAGTTTTCCAAACCAATCTGTTATCCTCTGATTCACTCAATACAGGGGTACAATGAAGCAAGTGAATGAGCTCAGAGCATTCATCCATTTCCCAAGCAAACAGTTGCCTACGAAAATAGAAATCCCACACACCTAGAGTAGATTTTCTTCTAAAGAACTCAAACATCGTACCCTCTTTCTCTAATGACAAAGAAAACAACCTTGGAAAAAGCCCTTTCAAGCTACCTTCCCTAAGCCACCTGTTAATCCAGAATCTACATCTTCTCCCATTACCAAGATGAATACTTACATTCGACTGGTATAATACAAGAACACTAGGGTTAGAAAATGATGCAGACAAAATGTCCTTTCAAACTCTTGAGACATTGGTTTGAGGAACAAAAGATGGCAACCAACCATTAGTAGCATAGTTATATTTGCTACATAAAATATCCTTCCATAAAACCCTATTAGCACACCCAAATCTCCACCACCATTTGACAAGGAGGTATAAGTTCATAACACTCAAACTTCTAATACCCAAACCCCCTGCATCCCTTCTTCTAGTAACATCACTCCACTTGACCATATGAATTTTCCTCTTTAAATCAGAACCTCCCCACAAAAGTTTAGCTTGAATACTTTCAAGTTCTTTAATCACAGAGACATGCATCTTAAATAAGGATAAGTAATACACCGGCAAGCTTGACAACATAGATTTTATGAGTGTTAGTCTACCCCCAAATGATAAGTGTTTTCTCTTCCAAGTTGCAAGCCTCAACTTGAATTTCTTGACAATAGGGTCTCAGGTAGACTTTAATCTAGGACTTGCACCAAGAGGCATGCCTAAAAGCATGAAAGGGAGAGCATGTTTGGAGCAATTAAGTGCATCAGCAAAATCATTAAGAAGATCCTCCTCCACCCCTACACCAATCACCATACTTTTGTAGTAATTAATTTTAAGCCCAGATATAACCTCAAAACACCTCAATAATCGCTTGATGCATAAAACTTCCTCCCAATCAGCCTCATAAAAAAAAATAATATCATCTGCAAATTGTAAATGGGATACATTAACCCTATTAGCTCCAATATCAGTGCCCTTAAGCAGTCCACCCTCCTTAGCTCTCATGATTAGGATGTTGAGACCTTCCACAATCAAATTGAACAAGAATGGAGAAAGTGGATCACCTTGTCTCAGACCCCTCTCAGTACTGAACTCAGAAGTAAGGTTTTCATTCACTAAGACTGACACCCTTGCTCAAGAGATACAACTCTTAATTCAATTCCTCCATTTCTAACCAAAACCAAAGCTTTCCAACAAATTAAACAAGAAAGACCAATTGACACAATGATATGCCTTTTCAAAATCTAGTTTGAAGATCACCCCTTTCTTCTTTTTCACTTTCCACCAATCCAACACCTCGTTGGCCACTAACACTCCATCAAGGATATGCCTTCCTCTTATGAATGCTGATTAAGTAGCACTGATAACAGATGGAAGTACCTTATTCAGTCTAGAGGACAACACCTTGGCTAGAATTTTATAGATTGACCCAATTAAACTAATAGGTTTGTAATCAAAAAGACTACAAGGGTTATCATTCTTAGGAATTAACGCTATAAATGATGAGTTTAAACCAGAAGCTAATTTGTCGTGGTCAAAAAATTCCTTAAAGAACTGCATCACTTCTACCTTCATAAATTTCCAACACTTTTTAATACCAAATAGATTAAAGCCATCGGGCCCAGGGGCTTTGTTCCCATTACATGACTTTAGAGCACTCCATATCTCAGCTATGGAGAATTCTTTTTCTAAGTTTGTTGCATCCTGAGAACTAGAAATAGTTTGGAACCCACCTACTAATTTTGGTCTATTCTTCCAACTTTCTGAGAACACCCTCTTGAAGTGGTTCCACACAGCATTTTTTATAGACACTGGATCCTCAAAAGACACACCATTCACCACAACTCATTTTAATAAGTTAATGTTGTGCCTGCATTTGGCCATTATGTGAAAGAACTTGGTGTTTCTATCCCCTCTCAAAGCCCAATCATGTCTAGACTTCTGAAGCCAAAGCCAATCAATCTTTTTGCTCAATCTCCAAACCTTCCCTTTAAGCTTTAGAATCTAGCAACAATCTGGATTCAGCTAGCAACTCCAATTTGTGTTACTCAACCTCAACCAGCTTCAACTGACTATGAAGATTACCAAAAACAGATATATTACACTCCTTCAAAACCCTCTTCAGGTGCCCCAATTTGTTAATTAATCTGAACCCTGCCCACCCATCAACTTACACCTCCATCCAGGATTTCTCTACAAAAGCCAAAAAACCTGGATGGAGAACCCAACAATTCAAGAATTTGAATTGCTTTGGGCCTCAATCTCTAATATCCTCCGTTAAAAGAAGAGGGCAATGATCAGATAAAATTCTAGGCAAACCCCAACACTTGTAATCAAATCTTAATAGCCAATCCGAATCCACAATAAATCTATCAATGCGGTTCCATCTACCTTCCTCTCTACAATCACTCCAAGTAAATTTTCTACGCAGCAATGGCAGCTCCACCCCTTTCATACGATCGATGAAAACGTTAAAGTCATTCATCCCCACATTTCTCCTAGAGCTTCCCACCATTTCCCCTAAGTGCCTGATTTTATTAAAATCTCCACCTATACACCAAGGGTTGGGAAATAAAGGCTTAATTCTAGCTATCAAATCCCAGAGATCCCTTCTTTTGGTTACTTCATTAGGAGCATACACATTTATCACCACACAATCAAAATATGGCATAATCTTCCCAGCTAAGAGAATAAAATTTCTGGAACAGCAACAATCAACTAAGGCAAACATAGCAGGATTCCAAACGCACACTAGGCCTCCTGCACTCCCACTAGCACCCACTTCCATGAACTCCAAATTATCCTCTGGCCATATTGATCGAACAAGGTTTGAATCAAAAGCAGCCCGTTTTGTTTCTTGCAAAAGCACCATATCCACCTTATTATCTTTGATGATTTTCTTTATTCTTCTCCTTTTCACCTCCCTACCAAAACCTCTAATATTTCAAGACAAGATCTTCATAAAAACAGATTTAAACAACCACTTTACACCTAAGAAAAAAACAGAATTACCTGGATTTTGATTTCTTTCTCTGCTCCACCCTCTCAGCATCCAATTGTTTGAGCTTAATAATCTTCTTTAGCACTTCATCTTCTTGCCCTTCAAAGTCGATTCCAATTAATTTCCCCATACAAATTGTAGCTTGCGCCTCGTCAAGGATAATCTGGCCTTTGCTTGGACCTACATGCGAAGCTGAAGCCAAAGAGTAAGCTGCAACTACAGCACTGAGTGTTGTTGCCCCTATCTGAGCTTTGATTTTATGATTTTTGACCCTTTGACCCTGAGATCTCTTCTTGCTTTTCCTTTTTTCTGATATGCATGGTCATTTGCTTCCACCCTTACCCATCCCAGAATCCAACCCCTTCTGTAATTTTGGTGATTTCGAGCACATATGTGAGCTGCTGGATAAATCATTATCTTGAGAGCGAATATTTTCTTCAGCCACCACTACTGCCCTAATATTTGCCAACCCACTATCCTCCCCTGTATTTACATTCCGAATGCCCACAAAAGCATCTCCATTATCTTCCACAGGCACATTAACCACAAATCCATTACCCCCCACTTCCTCAATTAAATAAGGGGAACTTACTGATAAGTCCCATGTAACAAGTTCAAAACCCAACTAATCCCAAAACAAAATACTTGCACCAATTAGTCCAACACATTTTTAATTGTTACCAAAAAATCCTTTTTTTTTTTTTTAAATTTATAGACACTGTTCACATCTTACTACTGTCGGACTTCCGTTTAACGGTCGCCGGAGACTCACCGGAATGTCTAGAATATTGCCGGGAAAAAAAATTAAAAAACATGTTATGAAACTGTAAAATTTTACAGTTCTAAAGAATGTTATAAAACTGCAAAATTTTACAGTTTTAAACCATGATTCATTCCAGCACCAAAAAAAAAATTTGAAACTGCAAAATTTTACAGTTTTCACCGCCTGTAACTAAAACTCGAAAACTGCTTGTTCAGAATTCGAAAATTTTCTCCATTAGAACAGAAAAACAGAAGTGTATAGCAGAGAGAGAAAAAAAAAAAATCGAAGGGGAAAGACAGATGTCTAACCAAATCTGTGTAAATCTACTCAGATCTGATGTAGATCTGAGTAGATCTATATCAGGTATCCCGACCTCAGTGTGAGATATTTGACTTTTTAGCTTTTTTTACACTTCCCAAACTTGGCCTAAATAATTAGTAACTGATTGAGGCCTATTTATGAACATGGGCTTCTTTAAAACAATTTCCAAATTGAGCCCAGGGCATGGCCCAATAGAGCCACTAAAGCTCCTCATAAACCCAAGATCATATATCTTGTTGTCATTCCTAACGTTAACCACAACCTGTTCAACTTCTCCTTCGCGTGCGCCGACATCATTCACGAAGCCACAATCTACGAAAGTATCATTAACCACCGAAATTGAGTTCCCATGGTCTGACGCCACCAACCTGCTTGCCACTTGTATATGCTGCTTTTGGTCCACTGCAACAGTGTGTTCCACCTCCTCGATTCTCTCATCTTGTTGATGGTTAACTTCGGCGACTGAACTCTCCGACCAGGAAGGTGAAGAGATATTCAACCCCCATTTCTGGCACATCTCACAATCAAAATCAACACTGTTATTTCCTTCCCCCACCGAAACCTTGTAAATTCTCTTATTGCACTCAACCTCTACCGACGAGTTAATTACTTCCATGAACCTAGTATGAACCATAACCTTGCCACAGTTAAGAGATTTTGAATCCAAAAGGTTATCCTCAAATCTGATGATTTCCCCCCATAATGACCCAATTCTTTGAAGTGTGCTAGTGTTCCATGCATGGAAAGGTATACCATAACAATGCAACCAGACTAGCCTTGAAGTCTCCATAGGCAAATCTTCATCCTACAATCTTATTTCGTCACAGAGATCTTGAATAAGGTCTGCCACCAAACTAAACTTCTGGTGCATTATCTCTTCTGCTGAAAAAATTAATAGAATTAAATTACAACCCCCAAATCGAAAATGAATTTCTTGCAAACTGTTATTCAAGATTATACTCAGCAACTCCCCTAGCATCGACATACTCTTGATACGTATCACCATACTTCTCTGTAACCATTCACTGCCTTCGTCTAAATTTTCCACTTTTAACAAATTACTGGCATCACACCCCCCTTCCTTCACAATGTCAGCATACGATTTTGTTCCTCTGCTTGTATTCACCCCGATGCCTTTAAGGACAGGCACATTGGATGCATTTGGTTTACTGCCATCCCCTGCTTGTACTCCACTCTTTGTCTGGTCTCGTGATCATAATCTGCAAACTTTACCTTCAATTGTTTATTGCCACACCAGACCCCATTTGTCTTCTGAATCGCCATCTTTGTTGCCACTACACAATCGTATCGAACAAACCCAAATCTTGTTCCCACTTTTCTTCTCTTAAATGATATGAAGGCATGCTTCACCACTCCAAACTTAGAAAACATATTAAACATGCCTTTAGGATCCATATCACATGGAAGGTTGTCAACAAAAATGGAAAACAGCTTCAAGCCTGGACCACTTCGTCTGTGACCAGCAGCTCTCCTTCTGTAGAACACCGGTTGCCAACCCCCTTCAAATCTCCTACCATCAGCTTTTCCAACTTGCCCCGCCATCTTCTTCAAAGGGATGCTCCTTATAGATCGCTACTTGAATTGAAGGGTTTTGAGGAAGACTTGAGTCTGAAATAACAGAATTTCATTCAAAATGAAATCCAATTGTGCTGCTTGACAAGAAACTCTGTTTGCGTTTATTTGGATTTCACTTCCATTAATATTTTGACTTAGCAAAATATGCAGTAGAATCTCTGGAAATCCAAAAAAATCCAATCAAGATAACTTATTGGTACAACCATCTTTCTAATATGACTTTTCAGTCAGTTCCCTTTAACTAAATGAGATTTTTATAAGTTAACAAATTGAGTTTTAAGAAGTTTGAGTTGGTCTGGTTCTAGCATCGGCTAGATTTGATTTTAAGTCAATCAAAGAAAGTAATTCAGTTCTCTTGTTGGTGACTCAATAATTCTAATTAACTCAACAAGTTACAATATAAATAATAAATATCTCAATTTAATTTTTCACGAGTAGACATTTATATGTGTTATAGTAGAGAAATTTTATAATCAATAGCTTATGTGGTATTTGATTATACTTATGTAGTATTTGACTATAACTCATTATTTTTTTTTATTTATAATTGAAAGTGATCAGTTATAACATTTGTAATAACTAACACTACAAATATCATATTTACATATAATATATATTTTTTTGGCGGTGTGTATTTTAGAATGACATGTTATTGTAAGGTGCAATATTAAGTGCAAGTATTGGTTATGATAGAACATTTTTTAAAAATGAGATTATGAGAGGTCATTTAGGTAGGGCTTATTATGCTAATTTAATTCTATTAATTTATTAATGTCGTACTATATGAGGAAAAAAAATTATAATATAGTAATGTATTAATAATTAAAATAGATTATACTAGTTTTGAATAATATAATTATTTTTATATATTTGATATAATTATATCAATCATTCTTTAAGTAAGAGTAAAGCAAGCATAACAATGCAGGCGGAATATAGACACATATATAATCAAATAATCAAAGATAAGGGTGTGTTTGGTTTGTATTTTGAGATAAATTTTCAAAAAAAAAATTAGGAAGAGAGTTTAAAAAAAAATTTGATTTGTTTGGTTGCATATTTTGAAAATAGTTTAAGAGTTTGGAATGATTTGATATTTTGTTGTAGTTGAGTAGATGTGTATAAGAGAAAAAATGATTGACAAAGAGAGAGGAGAGAGAAAAGTTATTCATTAATGTGTAGGAGAGAGAAAGTGATTTTGAAATTTTTTTTAAAAGAAATTTGAACCAAATAAAATTTTAAAAAAAAAATTCAAAAATTATATCTTGAGATACAAACTAAACAAGTCCAAAATATATATTTCAGTCTAAAAGATGTAGGACATCGTTTTATCCATATTACTTACAATATAATTGATGATAATGGGGGCAAAGTGTTCTAAAAATGTAGAATAAATGGCACTTTGCCTCGTTTAAGTTTTATGATTTTCTCACTTTTGCCATTAAAATATTTGTTCCTACTGTAGCCTCTAACATTTGTATTATTTTCCAAAATCAACCTCCATTCAAAATTACAAGAAAAATAACATGTTGGCAGCCGCATGTGCCACCGAATATAAAATTCATTATATTAAAAAAAATTGAATTAATTATCTAAAGGAAAATGCGTTGGACCCCAATAGGGGTGTCGGGGGTCCTTGCTAATTGGCTAAAAAATAATTTTTTTTTTTTTGTTTTGTTTTTTTTGGACTTCAGCCACTGGCAGTATGCCATGTGGTACTGGGGGTGCTGGGGTTGCCTAGTCACTGGGGGTCTCCAGCATCAACTTTATCTAAAAATTTTATTTACAAATGTTATAATAACTCAGGTTCTATTTAGTAAAATTTAGAATATGATCAATTTTTTTTCTAAATTTTAAAACTAAAAATAATATCAATTTTACATAGTAATGTTCTAAATAATTATTTCATTAATTGATAAAAAAAACAGAACATGAGATTAAACGTTTTTATCTATCTACTTATTGATTTGATTTAACTATCCAATAAAATCAATAACAATTTTGGTTTTTTTTAATTTTAAAACTGAAAACATTATTAGTTTTTTCATTTTTGAAAGTTATTTATTTATTTATTTGTTTATTTATTTTTCAATTTTGCACATCAATGTTCCATCATCATGCTCCTTTATAGACACAAAAATTTCAATTTTGCACACTAATTCAGTTTTTTCAATTTTTTCAAAAAAAATAGTTTTTTTAATTTTTTTAATTTTTTAAATTTGAAAGTTGATATTTTAAAGTTTTGAAAATCAAAATAAATGTCAAATTATCATGTTCCTTAATAAATAATTATAAATGATGAACAATAATTGTTTGAAGGGTAATTCCAACTATTAAATATTTAATGGGATTTGAAAGTCTAAAAAATTTTACTTAGAATTTAATGAAATATAAATTCATAAATTAAGACTTGTGTGTAAATATCCCATTAAAATTTTATACAAACTACACTTTACCCCTTTAGTTTCACAATTTTCCCCCTTCAACCTTAAAAGTTTATTTTATTTTATTTTATTTTTTCTCTCACTCTAGCCACTAATATTTGTATTTTTTTTTTAATTTATTTCTAATTCCAACTTTTGTCCACTTTTGGATGAAAAATGGCATGTTGGCATGCACGTAGTGCCACGTGACATGAAAATACATTATATTAAATTTTTGTATAAATTATAGTTTATCCTCTTTGAGTGTGTTTGATTGGATGGACTGGATAAGGAGATTAGAATTCATTGAACTTGAATCCTGGGACTGTGAATTCTCAG